ACAATTTAGATCTTTCTCAAACTTTTTAACAGCATAAGCTTTACATGATTAAATGCAATTTCTTTGCATTCATACTTTTCCATCAAGCAAACATGAAACACTATGTTGTCAAAGATGCTTAAAGAGATTCTACAAAAAGGATTCCCTAACGACCAGAAACCAAGCACCAAACTGTAATCTAACTCAAAATTACCTGACAAATCTAGTGAAACTCTTAAGCAGAGAAAGTGTAGGTTTCAAAGAATAAGTACAAAGTAATTTTAAAATCATTATTTATTATCATAATATTAATCTTAGAGCTACAAAAGAAACTAATATATCTTTAATTCCCACAGAAAATCTAACCTTTCATTAACTAAGGAAGATTACTCACCGCCCATGTTTTAGTCAACCTGAAAATTGGGGCACTCTGTAAGCCAGAAACCACTGCCATAAGTGCATGAAGGTTATTCAGCTCATACAGTTTCTGAAAATTTAAGAAAAAGGGGGAGAAGGATAGAAAATAAACACCATTAATACAAGAAAAATTCAGATTAACATGTATAAAATAGGCAATTAATAGTGTTCCACTATTTATTATCCTCATTGTTGAGATTTGTCTTTAGAGTATACACTATGTTTACAGTAAGTTGTTTTGGGCCCACAATAGAACTTCCATGGTTTACCTTAGCATTGCCCCCAAGCTCTGGGAATAAATCTACCTCTAGTTGGTTAACATATTAAGAAAACCAATGTTATGGCTCAGTATCAAATTTAACTGCTATGATCATGTACCCTGGTTTCTAGTAAGCAGTTTACTTCCTTATATTGAAATATTACTAAGCCTCTGCTTTATATTCCAAGTTTCAAGAAAAGTTCTATACCTGAGATCCTGAACTGGTTTCCTACCCAGTACTCCTATTATTCCAAGGCTAGTGTTCAAACCTGCTTTCCACAGTCCTTTTCAATTTCTTGCTTCCTTCTGCCTGAATCCCCAGATCCTTTGTTCCCCATTCATGTTGGGACATTGCTTTCACAGTCTGCACGCAGAAAACTACTTAACACTAAGTTCCATCAATTTGCCAAGAGATCTGTTTGACGCTTATTGCTAATTTCCCAGATTTTTTCAGAGTACCTGATGCTTACATCCCAAAGGTCCTACCTAAAAATCAGTCATTTTAGAACTGTCCTAACCCTGTTACCAGGTAAGCCTCAGGTCTAGAAAATGTTGTGGGTGAAGCATTTGATTGAAAACCCAAAGAAAACAAATAAAAACAAAATAAATGATTTAAATATAAAACAGGATATAAACACTCACACAGTAAGGTTATATAATCTAGTTGGGAATCTATTCAATCTATAAATGTTAAACATTTTCTATGGACGAGGCATCATGTTAGAATCTATGAGTACGATAATGAAAAAGACCTATCAAAAAGCTTCAGTCTTGTGAGACAGACACGAAAACAAATAAGAGGGTACTTCAAAAAGTTTGTGGAAAAATAAAATTAAAAGATAACACAAATCCTTCCACGAACTTTTTGAGGATCCCTCACATAAATCCAATCTGCACATTTTTACTATAAAAGTACATATGGTCATGCATTGCTTAACAAAAGGGTTACATTCTGAAAAACGCATCATTAAGTGATTTCATCACTGTGTGAGCATCATAGACTGTACTTACACAAACCTAGATGGTATAGCCTTCTACACACCCAGGCCATATGGTATAGCCACTGTCGTATTATGTGGTCTGTAGCGGACTGAAATGTCATTATGCAGCCCCTGACTGCACAGGGTTCTATAAAAGTACAGAAGAATCAGTCCCTAACTCTGAGAGGTTCTAACTTCCAGAAGAAGTCACACTTGAAAGTGGAGGGCTATGAGAAAGAGCGAATACAACATACGGATAGCACAAAAGCATAAAAATGTCTAGATGATGAGTTGCATTTGGGGGAGTATAAGGGGATGAAAACAGAAAGGGCCATTTTCACATGTGACACCAAAGGGGTTAGACTTGCTCTCATGAGCAGCATGAACTCCAGTGGAGGATTTGGAGAATTTTAAAACTTGAGAATGACATTACTGAATGCCAGGCATCAGTTCACAATCCTTTATGTGCAATTCTGAGATCCCAAAACTCTGAAAAGTCCAAAGTTTTTGTCTTTCTGGTAAGGGTGCCTTGAATTCATCTGGTGGGAAAACCTGACCCGATGTTAGTCTTAAGTTAGACTTAATTTACCTCACAGGGTGGGGGGGGGGGGGGGGGGGCAGTATGCTACATATGGTATATGAATTATACCACCTTTCTAAAATCTGGAAAAAAAAATTGTATTCCTAAACATATATGGCCCTGAAGGCTTTGAATTAGGTATTACAGATCTGTATTACCTTTTATAGAGATCAGGGAATGGTTAGAGCGTGATGCTCATAACACCAAGGTCCAGGGCTCAATTCCTATACTGGCCAGCCACCAAAAAATTTTTAAAAAGGTTAAGATCAGGGAGTGGAAGGCAACACATAGGAGGGGAACCAGCACAGAGACTGTTTTAGTGGTCCAGGTAAAAGATGATGAGAGGAGAGAAGGGATGGATGCAAAATGTACAGAAGGCTACAACCAGAAACATGGTAAACTAACACACCTTGAGCTACTCTTCCAATGAAAACAATTAAAATACTGGGTAAGATATGAAAAGTATGTTATGAAAATGCACTGTTAAGCTACTAAGAAGGTAAGGTATACTCAGAGTCCCAAAACATAGTGAAAGAAAATCCAGAGAGGTAAGCTGAACACAAAGCTGGCAATCACTTGGAGGACATTTGCAAATCTGGTTAGTTTTCCAAGCTTCATGGGACACTCTGCTGAGGGCCTATCTATGGTGGGGAGTCTAATAAGTGACCCTCACCACACACAGCAGAGACACTGAAGGCTATAGCTTCAGTGTGAGGGCAAGATAGAAGTAACCCTCACCCAAAATCGAGAGAATGAAAGGCAAAAATGCCTGTTTTGAACCTTAAAACTAAGGAAAGCAGGGAGGGGGTCTCATGCAAGTTTGTAGCCTGAATAAATACTACTTCATAGTAAAAATAAACAAACAGCAACAACAAAAACCTCAAGCTGGACTTGTAGCTTCTGACTAAGATATAGAATGACTTAAGGGACCATTGGTCTAGCCATAATAGCAGGAAAACAAAATAAACTTAGAAAAAAACATTTTGTAAAAGACATTAGAGATTTCATAGTAAAAATAAACAAACAGCAACAACAAAAACCTCAAGCTGGACTTGTAGCTTCTGATTAAGATATAGAATGACTTGAGGGACCATTGGTCTAGCCATAATAGCAGGAAAACAAAATAAACTTAGAAAAAAACATTTTGTAAAAGACATTAGAGATCTGTGGACATTAAGAACACAAAGAACAAAATTCCACAGTAAGAACAGCCTTTAGCAGCAGTTTTTCTCCCCCACCCATGTAGGCATCTGCCACATCTCTACAAGGGTAGGCAAATGATTAGGCCTCCAATAGACAAGAGTTTGCTGGAGTGAGATAAACCACTAAAGTTTTTACAACCTTGTGAGCTGGCACAACAGACTAGGATTTATAGGAATCTCAAACCTATAGTTGATGCTTGTGCCCATTGATTTTCTCCTATAGAAGTTTTTTTTGAGTACGGGCTAGTGCAGGAAAGCAGAGAGAGGTTTCTGGGACTTAGGACCCAGAGTCCTGCTAGAGGAAGGGGCCTGTACTAGACACAGCACAGATTTTGTCTTGAGTCATTTGTAACTAGAGGTGATCTGAAACTAACTAAAGCTGAAACTCAGTCCTAACTACCTCAATTCCTAATTGGATCACAATAATCAGCTCCTCATCCTCCATGCCTCAAAGAGGATTAGGCTGACCTACTCTGGGAGAAGATTAATATTTACTCCAGTCTCTACAGTTCTTTTAAATACAATGTTAAAAGGTAGAAAAGTTAGAAAGGAAGAAGTTAAGTCTGTTTTTATTTTTAGATGACATGACTGCATATGTAGCATGGAACAATGGAAAATGAGATGAAAAAACATTTACAATAACATCAAAACATTGGCTATCTAGAAATAGACAAAGAAATGTAAGACTGCTTTGCTGAAAATAAAGTACTGCTGAGGGAAATTTTAAAAAACTTAAATAAACAGAGATATACCATGTTTATGGATTAGAAGTCAATATTAAGATATAGTTCTTCCCAAAACGATCTATAAATTCAATAAAACCTCAAAGTCCAAGCAGACCATTTTGAAAAAACTGACAAGCTAATTCTAAAATGTCTGTGAACATAAAAGGAGACAGCATAGGCAATACAATCTTGAAGAAGAAAAACAAACTTTGAACACTATGAGTTTGTAAGACTTACCATAAAGCTACAGTAATTAAGACAATGAGATATTGAAATAAGAATAGACAAATAGATCAATGAAACAGAAATATACCTACACATATTAGATCACATCATTTTCAACCAAAATGCCAAAGCGGTTAAACAGAGAAAGGAATGGGGTTAGAACAACCACATATTCTTATGGGGGGAAAAATAAAACTTAACTCCTAAACCTCACACCATATACAAAAACCAAATCAAGATGGATCACTTAAAACTACAAAACTTCTAGAAGTGATCAAAGGAAAATGTCTTCATTACCCTGCATTAGGCAAAGATTTCTTAAACAAGACACAAAAAGCACTAACCACAAATATAAACAAAATTCACAACCGGACTTCATCAAATTTAAACACTTCTCACCTATCAAAAGATAGCATTAAAAAAGTAAAAAAGGAGCTGGTTGGTTAGCTCAGTTGGTTAGAGCTCAGTGTTATAACACCAGCATCAAGGGCTTGGATCCCTGTACCGGCCAGCTGCAAGCCATAGACTGGGAGAAAATACAATGTATTTGAAGGTACTTCAAAAAATTTGTGGAAAAACAGAATTGAAAGATAATGTGAATCTTTCCATGAAATTTCTGATGTACCCTCATATTTCTGAAAAGGTTTTCTTCCCAGCTGGCTAGTACTGGGATCTGAACCTAAGACCTTGGGGTTATAAGGCTGTGCTCTAACCAACAGAGCAAACCAGCCAGCCCTCTGAAAAGGGTTTGTGTTCAGAGTATACAAAAAGTTCCTACAAATCAGTAAGACAGACAGACAATCCTATTAAAAAATATGAGCAAAAGATCTGGAAAAATATTTCACAAAATAAAATATCCAAGTGATCCACATACATTAATGATACTCAACCAGCATTATCATGAGAGAAATACAAATAATACAAATTAAAACCATGATAAGCTACTACTACACACCCAAAAGAATGGCTAATATTAAAATAACTAAATAAATAAAGACATCAAGTACTGGCAAGAAATGTGGAGCAACAGAAACACTCATTGCTGGACGGAATTTACAGTGGTAAAACCATGTTGGAAAACTATTTGGAATAAATAAAG